CAACCTTGGTGCTCGGTACTCTTCACTCGACGCTAAGGTGCGACCAAGTTTACTTCTGTTTCATATTGATTTGTTTATGTGTACTATAGTGAATCATGCAATATAATATCCATGTATACCAACTAACATTACTTATACATTTACAATAAAGCTAAAGAATTTGTTTTATTTCTATTTAACAGTTCAATTATTGTGAAAGGTCAAGTGTGGGCTATTTTTAAATTTACTCTATGACCCTTGGGAAAGGTTTGGCTGTTGAATAATCTAAAATTAAATTACGAAAGAATATAAGTAATGTAATAATAATAAATTTTTCGGACGTGTAACCCACAACGCCACCTAGTTTCAAACTAAGCAGAGCTTGTACTATGAAAGCTAGATTGACTGATAGAATATTGTTATCCTTTTTCGTATAAATACATACATATATTACAAAGAAAACACCCAAACTCCGAAACAAATACTTGCAGATCATAAAAACATTTGGTCCGACCCGGGAATCGAACCCGAGACCTCAGCACAAGAGTCGCATACGCTACCCCTGCACCACCATTGCCATTGCACGGCATTAAAAAACCTAAATCAGCCGTAAGCACTTTTTATTGAAAACTATTTTTTCATGTGGCAAAAATATCTTTGACAGAACAGATTGGTCAAAGTAGTTTTGACTACAAAATTGTGTTTAAATAATGATGCTAAGATTTATTGCACACCGTGAGCTTTTGGCTCGGCGAAGTAACACTGGACGATTTCTACGAGTTAGAATTGAGTCTTTTAACATTCACAAGTACCTACTCTTATGGAAAGCCTGCGCTCAAAAGTACTTTTAAGTAATTTTGTTAGTGAAAAGTGGTTTTGTGAGAGTTTAATATTTTGACTGTAACAGACATGATACCTACATGATACCTACATACCTGGGTCTATAGAACCAGCACCATTTTCCGATCTAAAAGCGTTGTACAATTAACTATTTGATTTAGTTTCATAGGTTTATTTCATTGGCATATTTATTGTTACAAATGACAATCAGTTCGAAATTCAAGTGTATTTGATTTGTAGTTTTACATTGAATCATTTACTTTCAAGCGACAACACAAGAACAATCCTTTTTAAATCTATCACAAACTGATTTTTTAAAGTTGAAGGAGAACTTTTTGGGATCTGCCATTTAATAAGATATAAAATCCATTTAAAGGGAGGCTAGATTATTTAGGTGTAAATGTGTTAAATAAACATCTACATCAATTGCATTAAAATACAACATGTGACAGTTGAAAAGAAAAGTTGTATGGGTATGGCAAACTAGGGGCTGCAAGACCTATCCTATAAATCAGAAAAAAATAACAATTTTGAAATTGTACTGTCTTAAACAAGTATTAGCAACGATTTTCATATACCTAAATAGACTTTGAAAGGAAACATATTTGACACTTGTTAATCATCTTTGTACAGGTATTACTACACGGATGCAAATCAAACGCATTAATGTGTGATCGGATAATGCGTCACACATCAGCAGAACATGACAAACGAATTCTCAATTTTGGCTGTTTGACATTAGTCGTATACTCGTATTTCGACTGTAGTCATCCGAATACATGCCAGGGAATTCACAGACCTTGATCACAGACGCTTTCTATACAAATACCGGTGCGTCTAGTGCCGTCCCTATGGCTAAAAGGGCGTTACATAAATGTATGAAAATTTTATGTTTATTGGCGATGACAGTTTTGTGCAGCCCCGTCAGTGGGTGTGACGTATAATTTGGCGAATCGGCGATGCGTCGCGCTCGCAATACCAGTAGCGTGCGATGTCATCTTGGTTTCGGGTATGTCCATTTTCACGTTACACACCACACACAAATTCTTGGCTTTCATAAAACTTTAAATTGATACAGATAAATAAGAAACGTGTTGTGTTGTAAATAAACGTTATATTTTGTAACGAGCGGAGCGATGGGCAGAGCGAGCTCACTTTACTAACTCACTGAGTTCACTGAATAAGAATAATAGATGTATTCATATTTTACGGATTTTCCAATGTGTTCTTACTCAATTCTGCTTAATTCAAGTCCAAAATCAAAGTGACTTCATAATCTGTAAAAAAATAAATTTAATTAATTATTAACTGAAAATATTGTTACGAGATGGATAAGAAGAATACATTTGTTCACGAAATAAAGTTATTTCTACACCTAATCATGGCGGGTATAATAAAATTGTGACGGGCTCGTCTCATTAGCAGTTCGAGAGGGGTCATTCATATTGCCTGCTGTGTCTTGCATTTCAAAGTGATATCTGAATCATTTTACATACACACATTTTTTATATGCAATGCTGCAAGCAGTATGCAGCAACACATTTAAGATTTGTCAAATAAAATTATCAGGAAATACATATTATGTATGTAACCTCCTTTCTAAGGAGAGGCCTATGTCCAGCAGCATACAGGGTTACTGGTTAAATCGACCTAAATACTTTAAGTTGTTGTAGTGCCCATTATTACTACTAGATTTTACATTGAAATACCATATGTTAAACCAAACCATTTTCAAGATATAGTGCTTTTAATATTATTTTTTCTAAAAAAGGCAGAAATTTTGCCTAATACAATTTTTTATAACCTAAATCATCAATTTTTCTTTTTTTTACTGTTTTTGTGTCGTTGATACATTGTTTAAAAAATTCCATCAATAAAATTGTGGTTAATTTACCAAATAGGGCCGAAGTACCTAGGTAGTTGACATGAATTCATCAGATATCATACTCCTGCAAGTTGAATATTACGAAAGTTCCTACCGCTATTTTTGTTAATTTCAGCCAGTTACCAAATATTAAAACCAGTCCCTAATCCCTGTGTGTGTCCCCCAAGTCCTTAGCTTGCATGTCCACGTCATAAACTTTCTGCGTATCATTCAAATCCATTTTTGCGAAAGAGTAATCGGACATCAATCGTTTCATACATTCTTACAAACTTAGCACGGAGCCAACACTGATGACCTAGTACGGAACGGACCAGGTTATGCGGTGTTAGGTAGGCTAGGCGGTAGGTGAGAGGTGGTTTTGTTGTATGCCTAAAAGTACGTATACGTTTTTCTGTAAAATTATGTGTTCTTAGATGATTGACTGCTGCTCACTAGCAGGCGTTGCAATAAATATAAAACTGCACCCTTGTGCACCCATTTATCTCCACAAATGGTTTGACCTAGAAACGATTTTCTTTAGAATATTTAAAACTAATCGGTGAAATAGGTAATAAGTCGCCACGTGTGCTGATACAAAATGGTTTGAAATGAATGCTCGCATTTTTATTTAAAAAAACATTTACCAACCGAGATAGACGGTTTGAGACCGAAAAAGATCGTGATATCTTCAGAAAGGAGTCATTGGTTATGTTGTAAAATCACCAAGTGGCGCTCTATAAAACATTCTTGAATAATCTAGATCACTCTTCTTGCATTTAACAATAAATGCGTATTTAGTAAATCTCTCCGGCGATATGTATGTGTAACACTTCCACTGTAACAATATAGTGTTCTAATGATTTGTCTAAAATCTTTGTACTTTCTGTGTAGCCTATATTCGAGTTCAGATATACGTATTGTACGTACTATAGATTCGAAGCTTAATGGTTAAGGTAATTAATGAAAAGAAAGTTTTAAATTCTTTTTAAATTTATTTTGATGTATGGATTTCTTAAGAAATAAATACGTATTTGGCGTCGCTTTTTCCTGCACCATGTGTGTGGACGAAATGTTGGCAATCAGTCAAGCAAGCGCAATTAGCGATGACTGACACAATTGCCCGAGCACCCAAACAACAAACAGTTAATTGCACCTACAAATGAATCATAAATGTTTACCAATTACAGAATTGTGAGAGACGCATGTAAAATAACCATAAAATTTCTTAGGTAACTGTTTATCTATGTAAATAGATAATTTCTTTAATTTAGTGAGATCCGATGCATCAATGACGTTGAATGCCGAAGGCGAAAAATTACACAAGATCTTGGGGAAACTCTCTGAAAAATAACTTCGATTTGTTAACTTCGCTATTAATACTTTATGATGATACAAAACATTACAAAAGCCTTTACGTGTTTCGAAATACTTATAAAAGCTGCGTTTAAAAATACCCGTGGTTCTAAATTATTATCAACCCCAGCATCTAAGGATTACAATTGAAGAGACACGTTTGAAAGATTTTTACTTCTTTAAAAAAAGACCAACTCTTCAGTTATCTGGAACAACAAACGTATAATATTAATTACTTTGCAATTACATTTTAAATGCAGTAACTAATTTAACGCAACTTCTGAAACACTTCAAAATAATTAAAACTATTTTTTTTTCACTTTTAATAATCCTCGTTGGGGATGTAATCGTTTCCAGACAGGCACAGGAAACTTCTACTTACTTCCGTACGGCTAGGTTCTTGTTTTCCCTCTATCCATAAAAAATGTAAATCACTTTCACCTCTCATCTCAAAATGGCTATATTTTTGGAATGGAATAAGATACGAAAATGCCTGTAAGGCTCAAATATGCGGCATGTTTTCGGTGTTTTGAAAATAGGGAAAAGTCAATATCGCCAAAAACGGACTTATTTAATTTTCCAACTACGGGGACGATATACATAATAAGATAAACATACTAAAACAAGATATATAAATAAAGACAACTCTTACACCAATTCAATAAAGTTCAAAGCAAAATAGGGGTAAAGGGGGTTCTCGTGACGTGTTACGCCCGTTTTGGCTGTAGTTATAAGTGTGTGTATAAGTGCTCATATACGTCGTTATAATTAATGTCCGTGAAACCTAACTAACAGAGTCGCCATTTAGCGGTGGCGCTGTTATATCTATAGCTTATACCTAAAGCGCACAGACTGGGTAGTTGTTTCCATTTCAATGAGATTCTTTGAACAGTGAATCGTTATTCCCCTAGTTATAACATTGTTTACTTCGTGTGTATTAAAACCTCTCATTTATGTTTTTCAGTGGTTGCCGGGCGGGGGTTGCGGCGAGGGAGGTGAGGGCGCCGTACGCCGCTCCCGTGGCAAGCGTATTACACAGCGAAGAGGTGCTATTAAACACCATAAGTAAGTTCATATATATGTGTGTAGGGAAAGCTTTAAATTTAGAGTTAGTAGGAAGAGCGTAATCTGCCGATATCTGCTTAGGACATGCCGCTATTATACGGTATCCTTTCTATTCTGTCCCCTTATTCGCTATTAAAACCCACTTTACACGACAAAGCCACGCGTCTTCACTACATAAATGAATATTTATTTCAATAACAGATAATTATTATTAATAGGTAAGTCATAGTAAATATGTTCGGCCTATATATGTTTGCAGCACACATGCACTGTAACATGCTGTACTGTAAGGACATTACAGTGCAGCTTTCTAATAATGCGTGTAAATATTCTATCGGATTAAGATGCGTACGAATAAGTCTTGTAGATTGTGATACTCTGTGATCATGGCTCTACTGCTAATATTTAATGTCTTGGCTGGAAACTACAGTGCAATAAACATATTACAATAATGTTAAATAATTCTCTTTAAAAAAACAGTGTGGCTAGTACAGTATGTTCTCCGTGTGGTGACGAATTAAGAATACGAAGTGTCACCACCCCTATTCATCCCGTAGGTGTCATAAAAGGCAAAGGAATGAACTACGCATTACAACAGCACTGCAAAGAGAAGGAAAACTTGAAACAAACTCTACATCAACCCGTCTGGCAAGCGTGGTATAGTAGTCCTAAACCTCTTTTCTAAGGAGAAACCTATGTCCAGCAGTGGACTGTTAAAGGCTATTGATGTGATGTGATATGCAAAGATAGAGATTTGAAAGAGTATCGTAAATAAATCTTTAATTTAGAAAAAAATATGCTCTTAAAGACTTATTATACTCGTAGTCTTATACATACTAGACTTAAATTACTATTACTTAAAACTCTGTTGTTGCTGTAATTGTTTGCTTTGCTTACAAATAACGTTCATAATAATAATAAATTACTTTAGATTAGGACTGACACTTATCATTCCCTTACTCTAGCTCTAGTTTAATAAGGAACTGATGTAGTTTTGTAATTAACTTTTGAACTGTTTTAGTAATTTTGCGTAGGTTATATTAATCGCACCGATAAACGGTAAAATAAATAGCGTCACTCTACACCTAAAGTGTTGGGTATCGTGGATAGCTATTTAAAAAAAACATTGCGAGTGTGTGGAGACTATTTTTCGTATCAGTTCATAGAGTTTTCTACGTTCATAGAGCTTGCGACGATTAAACTACAAATTTATCATCTTTGAGTCTGGTGGTCCTCCAAGTCATTTTGAATTCAGAAGGAAAAGCATCACGTTAGTTCTATTAATTAAAGAGTAATAGTATAGAACATTTTGTTCAAAATATTAGGTCTTTACCTATGAAATTGCCGTTTTGTATGCAAAAATAAGTTTGAAAAAATAAGTACTTTCACGTACTTATTTTTTCAAACTTTTTATTTCTGTATTCGAAGTAATCACCCACGCAATTGACGCATCTTTGCCAAAGCATTGGCAGTTTATTGATGCCCTTCTAGTAAAAATCAGCTGGACGGGAGGCAACAAACTCTTCAAAGGCATTTTGTACTGCCTCTCGGGAATTGAATTTTTTACCCACTAAAAAGTTGTGTAAATTTTGGAAAAAGTAATAGTCGGTAGGTGCAAGGTCCCGTCCAGCTGATTTTTACAACACAAAGATGCGTCAATTGCATGGGTGATTACTTCGAATAACAGAAATAAAAAAGTTTGAAAAAATAAGTACTTTCACTTATTGCATACAAAACGGCAATTTCATAGGTAAAGACCTTAAAAAGCAGTTCCTGAAATGAAATTGTATTGGTTTTAAATGGGTGGTTATAAACTATGGACCGCATCTGATATTGTGCGTGGCTTAACATCGTTTACTATTATGACGCAATGAAGAGGAAATATAACAAGTCGTCCATAATTCCTAAGCAATATATCACGCCTCTTCTAGCCTGATTCTGCGCATCTTCATGTTTGAGATTTTTGGCTGGCGTATGTTAACGTCGATCTATCATGAGTAACGCCTACGTAAATGTTGATACCTATTTAAATACTTAACACAATGTACGACAGATGTTATGTAATTTATTTAATTGAGCTGGAACACCGCTTTGTGGTAGTTCATTACTATATAATCTATAATTTACGTATGCATCTGCGCTGGAATTGAGAGCCCGCGCCAAGTTGTCTCTTCGCCATTTTACGCATATTACAGTGTAATTTTATTTACTCATAATAATAAAAGTCGTAATAAACATATGTTGAGAGAATTCATGTCTCGTGGTGATAAAATAAAACCAGCTTATAATTGTAACATTTTCAACTTTAGGAAGCTAAATGATTACTTCTTTAAATAACACCTAGCTAGTGCTGTTTGTTGATTTTTAAAAAGTCAATTCAGTCAAGAAGGTAGTCTAGTCATTTTAACATATATATGGTACATATACGAGTATATACGTACGTATAAATACCGTATCATAAATGAACTAATAGGGTTAAAGTATGCACTGCCGTTGTATGGTAATAGATACTTTGAATTGACATAAAAGATTCATGGTATGAGATTTTCGTGTGAAACTTTTTGCACATGATACCTATGAGGTTCTTCTTTTGAATAATGTGCAACATTCGATTTTTGACTTTCCACTTTTTTTTTGACTTTTTGAAAGTTGGTACCAATAAAAAGGCGCCGGAGGTCGCAGAACGACCTCCGTCCTCCATAAGCGCAGGCCTGGGGGTGACCGGTGAGGCCATCTGTCGCGCGCTGCGAAGCGCGTTGCGCGTTGCGAAGCGCGCTCGCTTCCAGGGAGCACAGGGAACATGGGGTTCCCACACGGGGGGGGGGGTCGTCTACTCGTCTGTAGATGACCCGAGCTATGTCGGGGTACCAGGGACTTCCTTTTTAGGGTAAACCTGGTTCCCCGGCTATTAGTACCCGAGACGGCGTGCGGTTTTAGTCGGTTCGAGTCCGACATGCCACCGACAGGTGGTATCCGAGGGGATTTTTTACCAAACTTTGAAGAATGATGGCAAAACACTACCCAGGAGGCAGTACAAAATGCTTTCACACAGTTTGTCGAATCTAAATCCCCAGACTTCTATCGTAGATCAGATACCAGCAATGTATAGATATCTTCAGTAAAATACGCAATTTCATTCTTTAACCCCTAATATATTAGATACAATTCTCCATTTAGACACATTTTATTGACCTCTAACAGACCCTTTTGTTGTTCCGTATATATCAAGTTTCTAAAATATCGGATTGTCTGGTTAGGACCGTAAACTATCAAGATAGATCAGACGTCTAATACTGATAATTGTGTTAACATGCAATCGTGAATATTTAGGCTGCGAAATTTAGTTCGATCAAGTTATTGTTGGTTTCTTCCTTTTGAAAATTTAAAATATCGTTTGGCTAGCCGAACTATTTACTAGGAGAGAATAATTTGACTTGTTAGTGTATGGTATTTAATGACCAAAGATATGAAATATTTAGTAATAATTAGAGCGTATATAATTAAATATAAATAATTCGGCGCTCTCTAGACCCAAACTAAGTATAGCTTGTATTCCTAGTACAAGGTATACTTAGTTTAGAAAATATTGGTTTAGAAAGTTTAGAAGTTTAGAAAGTTAAGAAAATAAGTTTTCTAAAACCATACACCTATTGGCACTAACGGAGTATCGAATCGAATTGACTTTTATGACACCACTCCATCTAGGACATAAAAAATATTTATGTGTTTTATTTGTATCTTTACAGGATTCACGAGGTAAACGGTCATCGCTTCGTGGCGAAGTTCTTCCGTCAACCAACATTCTGTGCGTTCTGCAAGGAGTTCTTGTGGGGCTTTGGAAAACAGGGCTACAGCTGCTCTGTGTGCCAGACGGCGGTCCACAAGAGATGCCATCACAAGCTTCTAGGGAAATGTACCGGATCGTCTGCGTATTCTGAATCCACTGTGGTGAGTGTTTTAGTGTTAATTACTTAAACCTTGCGTTCTCTGCCATTCTTAGTCACCGGTCCACTCTTAAGTGTAGTATAACGTTACCTTGCCCAACTATAAAAAGGTGTTCTAAAATTCGAATGGTACATCCTAAGGTTAAGGTTAAAAAGCTCTTCAGCTATATTACAATATGATTTTACAGATTTATTTCAAACAGTGTATATTATAAAGGTTTAGGCTCTAGGTGCTAGACTCTTGGAAAGTATTATAAATAACAATATAGATTACGGATATGGTTTTCAAGATTGTTAAAATATACAATATTAAACGAATCTAGTCACTATTTATATTGTTATTTACGTTGATTTGTGTACGCTTCAAAAACTCAAAATGTTCTGTACCGATTGACAAGATATACAAACCACTTCAAGTATGACTTTTATAAATCTATTTTTCGCGTTCATTTTGTATCTCATTTCAATTAATTAAATTTTAACTTGATACAGCAAAACATGGCAGGGCATGGCATATCACACATCATCAGCCTTTAATAGTCCACTACTGGACATAGGTTTCTCCTTAGAAAGGAGGTTTTGGCCTACTATACCACGCTGGCCAGACGGGTTGGTATAGAGTTTGTGTCAAGTTTTCCTTCTATTTGCAGTGCTGGTGTCCTGTCCGTTGTTTTGCGCTCTTAGTCGGCTCATACGACACCCATGCATATAGCTAGATATAAATAATAAAATAATGTTAACAATTATATTATTGTCGTCATTGTAGTACCTCCGGGAGCGGTTCAAAGTGGACGTACCGCACAGGTTTCGTCCGCACCAGTTCATGTCGCCCACCTTTTGTGACCACTGTGGGGCTATGTTATATGGCTTCTTCAAACAAGAGCTCAAGTGTCAAGGTATGATTTATATTATTCCACTTCAAAGTAAAAAGATGTATTTAATTTAGTATCTTTAATTATTATAAGAACTTGCAGACAGTAAATGAGAGTGAGTAATCTAAATCTATGCTTAATTATTTTAAAGTTTATTGCAATCTAGAGTTGCATAGTTTAGTTACAATTATACTTCAATCACAGAAGAATTGCCTCAAGGCATCAGTTAAAAAAAAAATAAGTGAAAGATAAGATGTTCAATTTTACCCGTTTTTATTTTTACTGCAATTTGAAGCTCTACTTTTTGCAATAAACTGTTTGGATTTTGATTTTATCTTTTCATTTGTTTGTATAACTACCTATAGGGTGTATACCCATAGGTGTTACATACATAAACACTTGTATTTCTGTCTTGCAAGTGCATGTTTGAATTGTCTTGTGAATAAGGTAGCTAGCTTGGATAGCTTCGCTTCAGCACAAAACAGACATTACACGTTATTTTAAAACTTTTGTATAAAGGAAGACCCTTTTTAGTGTTTTCCTTTATATTATATACTAGCCATTCGCCGCGGCTTCGCACGGGTGCCATATTTGTTTGTATAACTTTTAAACTGTTGACCACATAGTATATAGCAAGGCTAGTATTTTGGCACATGCCAATTACTATATACTATATTTATAATCTATATATGTATATGTATAATTTAAGAGAATAATAGTGCAGTACATGTGTACTGCAATATTATTCTCTTAATGTTATTATTATTATTAATATTATTATCTTAGATTTTAAATTGAACGGCGTTTACAAAAGTGCACAAACTTTACCTCTTTATAATATTAGTAAAGATCATAAAGTAATAGATCACAAATCTTTTCTCATCCATTTTATTGGCACGATGTTTTATATTTCGCTTTGAAGAACATATTCTGCCCGTTTCTGGAGGTAAATTAAAATATTATGTTTTGTATGTTCTCTAAGATCTCGCCCTTTTCTAAATATTTTTTAATTTGTTTTTAAGTACTTACTTACTTGATTTAGTACATTCTTATTGCCTATGCGCAAATAAAGTAGATTAAATAGGATGTATTTGATAGCTGTAAATTAATTTAGTTGCGTTTGTATCTTATAAAATTACCTTTGAAGATACAAAATAAAGTTATTATGCAAGATATACAAAATAATAAACTTATAATTACGGAATCAATCACGTGCAACAATGGCTTGATCACATGAAAAGTGATCAAGGTTGTGACTAATGTTAGTAATAAAATGTTCGTCCATTATTCCGCCTACAGTCTCATGATCATTTTTCGATCCCCCCCCCCACCCTTTGCATTAGTCTTGTGTGCTGAAGCGAAGCTAATGTTCTATATTTATCTTTGTTTTGATTGTGATGTGCATGATGTGTTATTGATTGCAGTTTAAAATACGCTGTTTTATTGCAACGCGTAGATTGTAAATTGTATATAATTTACTACCACTAACCACCTTTTTAAATGCTCTGAAAAAGTTGGATTTTTTGTTGCATAGCGCTACGCTGTTTTGAAATCTATTCGCTAATTTGAATGTATATTTTTTTTTAATTAAAATATTTGAATGTATTTTTTTTTTTTAATTAAAATATTTGAATGTATTTTTCTATTATTTCTTAGTCTACCTCTACCCTGCTTGTCACTTATTTTAGAATTTAATTATACAATAAATCATAATTAATTAATGTGTTTTCATATTTGATGATTAAGATTTACCAACATGAGAATTATAAACGATAAAAGCTTAAAGTTGTAGTAGAATAGTCTGCGGTCCTATGACAAAAGAACACAACACACCAAGAACTTTTTGCATATGTCGCCGGAGGGATAGGCAGAGACGTATTGAACGCCACGCCCGTTTTGGTGACTATAATTTATGTTTGGAAATGAAGATAACATTGGAAGTATATGGAAGGATAAGAGAGATACGAAAGGGATATTGATTAAACCGGTGGATTGAGGACTTCAAGCAGGTCAGGGGGCAAGTTTAATCAGGACCTGTAATTAGAACTACGGTCAAGTGCAAGCCGTCTTACCTGCCTCAAATATATATTATTTTAGATTAAAATCCTAAGTAGTTAAATTTAAAATATTAAGCAATAAAAAAAAAACGGAAACAGCATTTATAATGCATAAACATTAAAATGTATATTTAAAAATAAATCTATAAAATATATAAAAAAATTAGAACAGGAACCGTAACATCACGTTTAATAGTAAACTCAGTGGCGGATTACACATTTGCCGCCAGTAGGCTATTAAATGTTTGCCGCTCCTACTAACTTCTTCAATTCAATACCCTTTTTTTTCGGAATCGGACCGAATAAAACCATACAGAGTGCCACTCTGTGCGTGAGAAGGGATAGGAGGGATCCGGGAACAGCTGTTATAAAGACATCCGGATCCAGTTGTCCAAACCGAAAAGAGAATCTGGAGAGTCCCAATCATGGGTTAGCTGCCCGTATTGGGCGGTGCGATAAAAACTACTCACATCGCCTCCCCCCCCCTTTGGTGACTATCCAGCCCAAGCTTCCTGTAGGAAGTGATTGAGGGCCTTTTCCCAAAACGGGTGGAACACACACCCTTGTGGATGGTTTCCTTGGCAGAAAATGACGGAGAACATGGATGATGTTCCACTCGTCACGGATGCAGAGGTAGGAGCGCCTGTTCTAAGGATCCATTCCAAGAATACCGCTCCCGGACAAGACGCGTTACCTGCCCGAGTGCTGACCCTAGCCTTCGACCACACACACGACACACGACAAGCGGGAATGCTACCAAGCATGGGCAAATTCAGCGACGGTAGGCGATGTAAATACCAGCACGCTAAACAAACAATATAACTTTGCCTCCAGGTCCCTAAGAAATCGGAGCACATCAGCGGGATCGGTAAGACTTCCTTCTGGAACTTGTGCATTCTGGTCTCGTGCTTAGGCAATCCCACTCGACTTTGGATGACGGGGGGAAACGTACCGCCGACCCTACCGCGGTGCCAGAGCTGTATACCGAAAAGCCGGTTCACCCAAAACTTAGTGTGTAAAGCACACTTATACCTCGATATTCATAAGTCGTGTGTGTGTGGCCGATGAAATCTCTCCTATCGTGTTGAAGACGTGTGCTTTAATAATATTAGATCGATTAAGTACGATCACGATGCGTTTATTAACTTTTTCAAATACTTGAGTTTAGTACTAAGATATTTTTATTTTGGTTTCGAGACTTCTTTTCTCCGTGTATATAATAATGCTTTTTTTTTTATTTCTGTAAGACAAAAAAAAATGGGTCAAATTTGCCGCCCTACGCCCTAAAATTTGCCGCATTACGCCCCAAAATTTGCCGCCCTACGCTCCAGCCTGCTCAGCCTACTGGTAAATGCGGCACTGTGTAAACTAGATTTAATACACGGGTTCGCTTGCCACACACATAACCTCATCTATGTCACTACCAACTTAAATCACTTATCAATCATTACACTATGTCAACTGAGAAAAATTAAGTTGATCCTTTGCTACATGAAGGAAGGAATAACAACAAAAGTATTTTGTTAAGGCCACAAGTGACAAAAGTGAACCTTGTATATTACTGATTAAATATTCTGCCTGAAATAAATTAAGTCACTGAAGATTTAAGTTAGAGTTTGTTGTTGTAAGTGTAGTTTAACTTATTTAAGGTACAGTAATAACTTATTTCATCTAATAGGTATTGTACTACGATCAGGTACTACGTAGCGCTACGAGAACTCGGTAGACAAATCGCTACGTTAAAATCTTTGTAGATGGCTTCTGTGTTCCTACGCCAGATACTTCTAGGCGAGGCTTTTTGTTTTAGTATTTAGTTTCTAAAATACTTTGTTAATTAATTGATCAAATAAATAGACGGGCCTGTTGGTGTAGTGGTAAGTGATCCTCAGTGCTAAGCCGGAGGTAGTGGGTTCGATTCCCACCCAGGACAAATATTGTGAGATGAGCACAGTCATTTGTTCTGTGCCTGTGTGCAGTTTATCTATAATATCTATGTATTAGAAATATATAAGTATGTTTATCAGCAGATCGGTTTCTATAATACAGGCTCTGCCTAGTTTGGGACCAGAATGTCGTGTATGAGATGTGTTATGTTGAAGTTATTATTATTTTTAAATTATTTTATATGAACTTAATCCAGCAGCGGACTGCGATAGCCCGATCATGATGATGTAAATATGAACTTAAACATTAATACGAAAAGTGTTAATTATATTTAAATATAGTATTTGGAGTCAAGTGAGCAGACGGGTCGCCTGATGGCAAGTGACTACCGCCGCCCTTGGACAACTGCAACTTAAGAGTCAAAAGTGCATGGCCCCCTTTAGTCCCTCCGCACAGACCTTGGCACCGGTAACTTCAGTCACTCGGTGAAAAACGAGAAGTAGAAAGAGCTGCTTAACACTGGTTTTCTATGAGGCCTTGGTAGGTCACTCCGGTTGAACCTGGCCAAATGTGGCAAAGTGTAGCTCTTCCATCAATATATCAAAATAATAAATAATAAATCACGGATAGGACTGTTGTTGCCAATAAGCCTGGTATTGTGGTGATAGATCGATTAGAGCGCCGCGCAATGATTATTTATGTCGCGGTTCCTCATGACAAGAATCTCGTGGAAGTTGAAAAAGAAACAGAAATAAAATATTTGGATTTATCTCACGAGATTATCGTATCTGCTCACGGCTTGATAACCAAGAGCTTCGACCTACACCTTAAGAGGCTCACGTTAGACGACTGGATCAAGAGTCTGCTGCAGAAGGCAGTTCTCCTTGTCACGGCCCGTATAGTAAGGAGGTTCTTGTCTTTGGAGTCCTAACCACCGATATCTTGGTCTCTGTACCTGGTGTTGGTAGTACTATTTTTTTATATTTTTATATAGGTTTTTTTTCTAAGTATGTTTTTAATTAATATGTGTATAAAATAAATAAAGAGTATAATAATAATACGTATGCCTGGCAATCTATGAAACGCGCTGGAGGAATTTGGATTACTATGAGTATGATCACTTGACACTATCT